AGTTTCGATCTCTCGAGAGTATTTACAGGGCAACGAAGGAGATTGATTAGGGGCTTAATTAATGGAAGGAAGGAGACGTTAATAACGTCGTTTAATTATCTTTTTTTTGCTTTTCTTGGTAACATGATGGTTTTGTGACTGTATATATGTCTCTGTGTAGTGTCCTTAATGTAACGTTGGAGCTTGATAAATTGTGATAATAGGTTTTGAAGCTTTTGCGATGAAAATTGTTAGATGTTTTTTCTCGAATCATGTTTTTTTCCTCTTTACAAATTCGTTGCAAATAATAATACACAAATTTACTTTGGAAAAACACAATAACATGATGTATATATGTGGAAAAACAAAATTTTGTTCGTAGGAGGAACTTGTTGTATACCGTATACGAGAGGTTTTGAAGAAAGAAGTTGTTGAAAGCTGTTTTTGGATTTGATAGTACAGTTTCCTAATTTTATATTTACGTGCAAATGATTTCGTTTTGAAATTTCAAAATTTGAGTTCTATCTTCTATGATGTGCCATCTGAAATTTTTAGTTTTTACCTTTTTAATTTTTTTTATTATGTCCTACAACGAAATGATTTTAAGAAAAACTCATTGTCAAGAACATAGCTATTTTGAAAAATCAACGGATTACCAATTTTAGATCGCTTCCGTTCTTACCAAAGCTGGGCATACAACATGAATTTAGTATTTTATAGTACTATTACGTAAATCCGAAGATAATTTTAGCTCATATATTTTATTCGAAGTTTGATTATACATGTATTATTGGACCTCTGTTTCAAAGAAGAAGTAATTAAATCATCAAATATACGTTTCATAAAATTTGTCATACAAAATTGATAAATGGTTTGAATTTATAAATTCGAAGCATGATACCTTTTTCCACAAGCTAAAACCAGATTCAAGGTGAAAAATCTCACGTGGAGATGCATGTAAAACATTTAACCGGTTATATCAAACCTCACTTTTATATCTCTCGAGGGATAATTTGTGCATCCACTGCTTTTCAGATGATGAGTCTGAAATCACATGTTCTTTTAATGCTCGTAGACCGGATTTGTGTCGACCATACCCTCAATACATGCCCTCCAAATGGTATCATGTAAAATTCATTATTTACCAACTTACGTCGGTTACTTTCTATCTTTGTAATAATCCCTAACAAGCAAAGATGATGAACCTTTCCACAGGTTTTTTTTTTAAGTTGTGGAAAAATATGAATGGTCTAGTCTTTGAGATCAAATAAAAGGAGCGCAAGATGTGTTAGCTAAAGCAACGACTGACCGCAATGAGTGGCTTTCAAGCAACATATGTAGAGTGGTGTACGCACGTCCAAGTTCCTCCACAACGATTAATCCCATGAATGAACACCACCTTATAGATACTTTAAAGCAGTGGCGGAGCCAGAAATAATTTTCAATGGCGGCATAAATATTAATCGATTAGCTAGCTAAAAAAAATAATAATTTGTTAAGTATTTTATGGATTTTT